ACCACTTACCTTTAAAAAATCTATAAATCCAATGAATCATTTTTACAGTGCAATGTGTGTGTGCGCGCGCTCGTGTGATGAGGCCAGACAGTAAAAAAAACTTAACACAGTGGCATTAAAGACCACTGTAGATATAGATGAATAGGAACAAGTCTGTGTGTGTGCGCGTGTGTGTGTGTGTGTGTGCGCGTGATGAAGCACAGCTCATTATTCTGCGGGCCGCACAGTGAAGCATAAAGGCTGACGCAGTTATAAAAGCTCCATCTCCACATGAATTAGGCCTAATTGAAGAGCAAACAGCACAGTCGAGTGAGCAATCCGGCCTGAGTGGTGTGTGTCCCCGGGCCCGCAGGAATCCTTCAACAACTGCGCAAATATTGATCTGATCGGCTCGGATTCATCAGCCATTTGCAGGCCCGGGAGCCGCTGTTTGTTCCTGAGGATGAAAGTGTCGGTGATTTATTCCTCCTGCATGCGAGATCCGCGATAACGAGGCGTCCATTAAACTTTATGGACGCAGTGATTAGGCTTTCCAGAGCAATTAGAGACTCGCTGAAGACTAAACACTGAAGACTAAACGCTGAGAAAACAGCAGTCTGATGAGGAGCACTGCAAGGCTGACACGACATCAACACGCACACACACACTTAAGCACAATCAAACACGCTGACTTTATACATTTTATTGATTAATAACACACACTCGCGCAGAAGCACACATACAGTGCTCAGCATATATCAGAACACGCCTCACAAAACTCATATTTTTAACAATATTAGGCTATATTTGTGCATATATTAGATTACCCTGCTGAAAAACCCATCTTAAACCAGCCAACCACCCTGGGCTGGTTTAAGCTGTTTTTTTCAGTGTGGTAATCAGTACTGAAGCCATATCCGGAGCTTATCTAACAAAATAACTTACGATAACGCTCCAAAAACGAGTGCAGGCAAATTTATATGTTATAGAAAAATATTAAATACAAATTTTAAAAAGAGGAAAAATCAAGAGAAGCAAAAAAATTACAAATTTAGTAGAAATTTTGTAGGTTGTAATTTATTTTTTCAATATTTTGCTTGAATTTAATTGTATTATCTTTCAATTTCTAAATATGTTTGGTGCCTTAAATATTATTTTAATAAATATATCTGTTTGACAAATCTGTTTTGTTTAAATGCACCATTACATATTTCCTGTATTCACTGAGAAATGTTGAAAAAAATATATATATATTTCAAAATGACCTTTACTCAGTTATGCTGAGCACTGAGCAAGCAGTCACACACACTGTTGGAAAAACCTATAATGGCATTTAATGTTTTTTTTTTATTAGTTGATAAAATAATAAGCGTATTAATAATAGTATCACACACACTGACAGAAAAAAAAATTTTAAAATTACATTTAATATTTTTTTAAAGAATAAAAATAAGAACATTTATAAAAACAGGACTCATGAGCACACACACACACGCTGATAGAATAAAACTTATCTAAATTTTATCTTTGTCAACTTATGAACAAAAATATTAATAATTAAATAAAAAAATTATAATTATTTATAGGGCGTCACGGTGGCGCAGTGGGTAGCACGATCGCCTCACAGCAATAAATACTGGTTCGAGGCCCGGCTGGGTCAGTTGGCATTTCTGCTCCAATTTCCCCCATAGTCCAAACACATGCGCTATAACTGAAAAAGCTAAGTTGCCCATAGTGTATGTGTACGAGTGTATGGGTGTTTCCCAGTGTTGGGTTGCGGCTGGAAGGGCATTCGCTAAAACATTCCGCTGTGGAGGAGTCGCTGGTTCGAGTAGTTAATAGTCCGCCAGTTGGCGTTTTTGTGTGGAGTTTGAATGTTCTCCCCCTGTTGGCGTGGGTTTCCTCCGGGTGCTTCTTCACAGTCCAAACACATGCGCTATAGGGGAATTGATGGACTAAATTGGTCGCGGTGTGTGTGTGTGTGAGAGAGAGAGAATGAGTGTCAACGGGTGTTTCCCAGCACTGGGTTGCGGCTGGAAGGGCATCTGCTGCGTGAAACATATCCTGGTTGACGGTTAGTTCTACTGTGCCGACCTATGATAAAATCAGAGAATAAGCCGAAGGAAAAGGAATAATTGTAACACACTCATACACGAACACATGCACACATGCACAATCACACTCTGACAAAAATAAATAAATAAATAAATTATATATATAATGACATTTAATATTTTTCAAAAACTCTGGCCCTCACACACTGCCCGCTGTGTCTATTAAAGCGGCAGTTCTCTTATTTTTATTTAACGGAGGAAGCGGTTGGTTTTTAACTTTAGCTCAGGTGCTTCTCTTATAAGCTTTATCAGAAAGGTCTTTAGTGATTAATGTGCAACTTTTATATGTTGTCGTCTTGTCAGGATCACACTGAAGAAGAGAGTAGGCCAATAGCTCAGTGTAATTTCCTGGCTAAATAAAATAATAATAATAATAAAAGCCCATATATATCCAAAAACGCTGAGTTATTTAAACTCAGTTATGTAAAATATTGGCTAACTCAATCATTGGGTTAAAGTTGGTTCAATTATTTCATTTATTAATTCTTTCTTTTATCCAGCGGATGCCCTTTCAGCTGCAGGCCAGTACTAGTTTGGGAAACATCATCACACACGGCGGTCAGTTTGGTTCATCAGTTCCCCTATAGCGCATGTGTTTGAATTGTGAGGGACCGGAGCACACGGAGGAAACCCACGCCAACACAGAAATACCAATTCACCCAGCCGAGGCTCGAACCAGCGACCTTCTTGCTGTGAGGCGATCGTGCTACCCATTGCGCCGCCCTAATTAAGTTGAATCATTTTCGAAAAATAAAGAATAGGTTTGTATTCATTTATTGTTTTTATGGATCTTTGTGAAGTTTAGATTCAACTAAAATTGCAGCTCTTAAAATTAGAAGTTTGTGGACATACAATAATAACATTTTTTCATAATTATATAATTATAAGGTTAATTTATTTTAATTGTTGTTTTATTTTTCATATGTAATACACATCTTTATTTACGTAGGTTTTTTGCCTTTAAACTTTTCTTACATTTGCAAACAAATCCCTACTAGTTTTAAATAAGAATTAATAAATGTACTTTTCATTAAAAAAACAAATAAGTTAATTTTTTTTTATTCCTTTTGCCATCAAACCAGCTTCATGCATTTCATGCTCCTACTAAAACTGCAAGCAGACGTTTTCGTGTAGTCAAAGAAAAACTGCTTAAGACTTTTGAAAGAGACTTAAATAGATTATTCAAATAAAAAAGCAAACTGTCTGAAACTATAAATAAAACAGTCTGTTTTACAATAAGTTAAATTATAAATATCTTTATGCATATAGTGGGATTTCTACTCGTTCCGCTTCAAGTTTATTCAGTTTAGTTTGTTTTATTGGCCTACATTTATGTTTGTGCATGGATGTCCCATACTCTTATTTATTTATTTGTTTTTTTTTTGTTTGTTTTTTATACAGTTGAAGACAAAATTAGCTCTCTTATTTAAAAACAATTATTTAATTTTTTGTCGTAAAGTGACGTTTAACAGCGCGTTTTTTTTCATTGTGTTCAATAGATTTATGTTTGCTCATATAAGCTATTTTAATTTAAATAAAATAAAAAATAAGTTAGAACAATTAAGCAAACTGTCGGACACTATAAATAAAACAGTCAGTATTTTTAACAATAAGTTTAATTAAAAATATCTTTATGTATATATGGGTTTTCTTGTTCCGCTTCTAGTTTATTCAGTTTAGTTTTTTTTATTGGCCTATTTGTGTTTGTGAATGTCCTGCACTCTTATTTATTTATTTATTTGTTTGTTTATTTGTTTGTTTGTTTGTATTATACAGTATAAGACGAAATTATAAGCTCTCTTATTTCAAAATAGTTGGCCTTCTTTACATATTTTGCAAAGTGACGTTTAACAGAACACGGAGTTTTTTCATTGCATTTGATAGACTTAAATTTGTTTATTTAAGCTATTTTAATTTTCAGTATACATAAAAAAGTTACAAAAATTGGGCAAACTAAATGAAACAGTCAATATTTTTTGACAATAAGTTAAATTATAAATATCCTAATGTATATAGTGGGTTTTCTACTCGTTCCGCTTCAAGTGTATTCAGTTTAATTTGTTTTATTGGCCTATATTTGTGTTTGTGGATGTCCTGTAGTCTTATTTTAGTTATTTTATACAATTGAAGACAAAATTATAGGCTCTTATTTCAAAACAGTAATTTAATTATTTGTCAAAGTGACGTTTAACAGATTGTTTTTTCATTGTATTTAATAGAATTATATTAGTTTATTTAAGCTAATTTAATTTTCCATTAAATAACAAAATAAGTTAGAAAATATAAACACTGTTAACGTCAATGCTATAACAAATGTATATTTATTTCAAACAATCCACTGTCCAATGACTTGCCTAATTATACTGATTAACCTAGTTAGGTCTTTTAATTGCACTTTAAACTGAATATATGTTGTTAAACATTTAGGCTAATATCGTCATGGCAAAATACAAAAATAAATTTGGTAAACTGAGTAAAATAGTAGGCCTATATACTGTCATCTTGGCAAAATAAAGGAAATTAGTTATTGATCATTTATACATTTTTATAACCGCTAATAATGTATGTGCGCATGCGCGGTATGCTCTGCTCTGTGCTGTTGACGGTCGGGATTTGTGAAGCGCTTCTGCATTGAGGCCCAAATCGATGATCTGCTGTTGGTTTTGGATCAAACTGTGAGGCTGTTGAACTCAGAACACACTGATTCATCGCTTTCCAATCATTAACCACCCGATTAGCTCAAACTCCAGCTGTTTGTCTTGTCGGAGCGATAACGAGCTGAAAGCGTCCATTGAGAAGCGAGGAAACGATGAACCGATTGATTTTAATGACTAACCGATCATCATCTACAACAGCAGGACACAGCAACAACCGCAGCATTTCTCACTTCAGATAACAGACACTTCATTATCCCCAAAATATCCTTTATTGAATGACACAAATATGTACAGTTTCCCACAACACACGATCAAAATACACATCCATTAAGTTAGTGGTCAGATATGGCGGAATGTACAGTATGGTACAGTATTTACAGTAAGAGCAAGGCTTATCATAGGGTGAACTGATGCTCGTCCTCGATGTCCAGCAG